ACTTGTAGAGTTGATATTGTTGTATTGTATATGTTGATCATTGCATGAATTCATCAATTTTGTGAATATATGTTGAATTGAGAAGTGAAATTCTTATGTTTCGGGTTTTGGTTATTTTTGAATGTGTTGAGGAGAAAGTGATGATTTGAACTATAGGTTGGTTGCATGTTGAGATTATTGATGTATCTGAGGTAGTTATAGTGTATATATATGGTCTTGTGGGTTGCATGCTAGTTTGAGGTTGAGTTTTCAGGTGATTTGGAGCCAAATCATGTTTTTGCCAAGTGCGAAAATCGTCTTTGCGTTGGGCGTTATGCAAGTCAAAGGCTTTGTGCCTTATTATCATCAAGCACAAGATTGGTAGCTCTGAGCATGAGACAGTGAGAGCTCTCTAACATGGTTACACTAAATGTGGGTTGTGGGCACCAAATGTGATTGCCTTTGGAACTCTCTGATTTGGTAACATCGAGCATCGGTTAAGTGGTGCTAGGTGTGATCAAGTTAATGTCTCTTTGCTTTGATGACGTTGGATGCAAGTTATGTAGCATTGATTGTGGGTTAAGTAGAAGCTCTCTGCATGGATGACATCAGGTGAATTTGATAGTATCGAGTGTGGTTTACATAAAGACTCCTTGTCTCATTTTCATCAAGCACAAAAGGATTGGTGTTGGACATGAATGAGATAGAGGCTTTCTACCTTACAAATGTTGGGAGCTAGTTGAATGACGTTGGATGTGAGCATAGGTAGATCACGTCAGGCGTGAATGAGTCGAATATGTATAAGTTGTATATTGTTGTATGTTGATATCGCTTAGGGGCCAAGTGAAGCCATACTAGTTTAAAAATGACCATTTGAGTAAGGTATAAGGTCGAGAGCCAAAATCCCTAAGTATAAGAAAAATGCCCATTATTTGGAGGGTAGTCAACAGACTATATCTATATAGGCTTAGTTATGCATGCTAAGAGTATAGTAGACTAACACCCAAGTTATTATACTCTTGATAGGGATACTGAACTTTCCTACTTCAAGTGGTGAAATTTGATAAATCATGTTGTGTTGTGGATTAATATCCAAATTTGTTGTTGATCTAACAAACCTAAAAAGATTGCGTTGTTAAGATGGTTCGATAGGATTAAGTCACTTAGACTGATCTTCTGTGTTGTAAGAGATCTTTTAGTTGAAGTAATGACACATTGTATTGTCGTGTTGTCATGTTGTAGTGTTGTTTAAGTTGATATGATAGTAAAATGTGTTATGTTGTAAGTTACGATATGTTGTTATTATATTATGTTGATATGTTGAAAAGTTGCTAAGTTGAATTGTTGTTCAATTGGAAATAATGATGAGTTGTATAATATGTTGTATGTTGAAAAGTGTTAAGTAGTAAATCTAGGTTGTATGCTTTTGTGTTGCTAAATTGGGCAATGGGCTGTAATTGAGGTGTATTGATGAAATTATTTTATAGTTAGCATTATCTGCCTCTATATTATGATTTTTTTTTTGCTTTTGAGTTTACCTTTGCATTTTCCTTATTGTTGGATTGTAACGATCATATTATTACAGAAGCAAGATAGGACTAGTGTAATGTAGAAAAAAAAAATTCAGTAGCCAGAATGGGCCGTTCTGGGGAATTGTTCAAGGAATTCAGCCCATTTTGCATATTTTTTATTTAATTTTACTTGGCCCCTCAAATACTTGAGTGATTCATGATCACTATGTATTATAAACTATTTTGAAACAAGATAATGTTCCCAAGTTTGAAGGGTCCTCACTAAGGCATAGAGCTCATTGTCATATGTAAGATAGTTGAGGGAGACATCATGTAATTTTTTACTAAAATAAGTAATAGGGTATTCTCCTTGCAACAACATAGCACCTATGCCAACCATGGAAGCATCACATTCTAGCTCAAAAGATTTTGAAAAATAAGGTAAAACTAGTATGAGAGCATGGGTGAGCTTATCTTTAATGGGTTGGAAAGCTTTTTCTTGTCCATTCCCCCATAGGAATGGAATATCCTTCGTCACCCACTCATTAAGTGGTGAAGCAAGTGTAAAGAAGTAAAGTACAAATCTTCTATAGAATTTTTCTAGACCATGAAAACTCTTAACTTCTCTAACACTCTTGGGGGTTGGACACTCTTGGATGACCTTTATTTTATGAGATCCACATGGACCCCTTCTTTGTTAACTAAAAACCCTAGTAAGATAACATGATATACATAGAAAGTGCATTTGTCTACATTAGCAAAAAGATGGTTATTCTTAAGAACTAACAAAACTTGCCTTAAGTGTCCTAGGTGATCACTTAGGCTCCTAGTAAAAACTAAAATATCATCAAAATAAAATGCTACAAACTTTCCTATGCAATCCCTTATAACATGATTCATGAGTCTCATGAAGGTAGTATGACTAACCACTCATATAATTCAAACTTAGTCTTAAATGTAGTCTTCCACTCATCACATTCCTTAATTCTTATTTGGTGATATCCGCTTTTTAGATCTATTTTGAAGAATATGGTTGATCCATGTAGTTCATCCAACATATCATCAAGTCTAGAGATTAAGTGCATATATTTAATGGATATGTTGTTAATGGCTCTACAGACAAAAACTTGTTGAGTTTTTCCGTTGGACTATTTTTGTTATCACTTTAAATCACTTTTAATTCTATCAACGGTCTCAAACACGGCAAGTATACCGGCCGTTCAAGTAGTAAAATTATCGTATCCACAGGGATTAGTAGGTAAAATAATCATTTATTAACTATTCGTGACTAAAGAATAATTCCAATTTGTAGTTTGTCATGTGAAGATTAATTGAAGAGTATAACTACTGGAATGTTAACTATAAAAATATTTGGTTGTGAGTGGAAAAGGGTAGAAATGGTATTATGATTTTTGTGAGATTGTGGGGTCAGATTTCACCAAACGTCAGACTAATGTATCCTTAATCTCTTGTTACATACATTGCTTAGTCAACCCATAAGTTTACTCAAACCTAATCCCTTAGAGCAAGAGCCTAGGTGCGGATATTGAATATCAATTCCTTGAGTACCCAATATCTACACCCACATTACGGGCTAGGGTTTAAGACTACTAATGGGCCAAGCTCCATTCCTAGATACATTTCCCACTAGGCATTTGTTTCAGAGCTAGTTTCAATGGTTATTTTCCAACACCCAATGGAACCTATATCATGCAAAGGAGATTCAATCCAAAGCAAGCATTAAGAATAGAAACATACACAACAATGAATGAACAACATGTATATATATATCATTGAAAACGTAAGGATTACAATAGAATTCGTTGGTTACATCTAACCCCACAAAACAATGGGTAGAACCACTCAAAACAATGAGGGTAAACACAAAATAGAGATGAAGAGAGAATGAAGAACCGAAGGAAAGACCCATACACGAACGACTCCAAGCTCCGGGAATCCCTTCCACAGCTCCTAAAACGCGCCCAATGTGTGAATGAGGAAGAAGCCCTCGAAAATGTCTTCAAATACGAGCTTGGGGAGTCAGATTAGGGTTTCGCGACCGACGCATAAGTCTTTGCACCCGGCGCAGGGCCTTCCAGAGAAGTTGAGCAATATCTGCCTCAGGACACGCCCGGCGCAATTTCCTTTTACACCCGGCGCAATGTCTTCTGATGGCCATGGTGATGTAGCAACAAAGTGCTCACTTTGCTAAGATGGAGGCGGGTATGACTGCGATTGAGGAAGTTAGACTGGTGGTCTCTTAGGATGAGAGAGATTTAGCAGAGTTCAGGAGATATTAGCTTCCTCAGTTCAAGGGGGATTTAGATCCCGATGTGACAGATTTGTGGTTGTGTGAGATGAGAAGATCTTCAGTGTTTTGGGATTTTCTGAGGAGAGGAAGTTAGCCTATGTAGTATACATGCGGGCGGGCGAGATTGTGTACTGGTGGAGAGGTACCAAGCAGATGATAGAGAGCAGAGGTGTGGTTGTAGATTGGGATTGTTTCAAGAGAGTTTTATTGGAGTAGTATTTCTCGGACAGCGTTAGACATGCTAAGGAGGCTGAGTTCATGGGACTGCAGTAGGGGAGCATGTCTGTTCCAGATTATGCTACGAGGTTTGAGCATCTGACTTGTTTCTACTCTCAGGTCGTATCTGAGGTTTGGAGATGTAGGAAGTTGCGGAGGGGTTGAGGCATGAGCTGAAGAGGGTCATAGTCCTTATGTCTATAGTGGAGTTTCCTGCCTTGGTTGAGAAGGCAAAGACTGTTGAGAGATTGAAGGGTGGTGGTAGCAGCGGTAAGGCTGCTAGAGTTCAGGAGGGGAGGCCAGCAGAGAGGGCCCTATGATAGACCTGCACAGTCTTACAGAGTAGCTGTTAGTAGGGGACCTCGTCCTGCTACTCCTCAGAGTGGAGCACAGTCGGTTCGATGCTACAGATGTGGAGGAGCACATGTGGTCAGAGATTGTTCCTATCCGGGGAATGTTTGTTCAGATGTGGTAGGCCAGGCCACATCTCTAGAGATTGTCAGACACCGCCGACTTCATCTAGGAGTGCCCCGAGGCCACCGAGGCCTACAGTTGTGGGGATAGTGTTTGCATTGTCAAGTATAGAGATTTCCATTTCATCAGATTTGGTGAAGAGGAAGGGGAAAGCAGCAGGTGAGGATGTTTTGTTCCTGTTTGATTCTGGTGCCACACATTCATTTATTTTTCTGTTGAATTGTGTGGGGAGATTGGGTTGTCGGTGTCTGCATGGCACGTTGATTTCTATGTATCTATTCTGACTTCAATTTCTTTGGTGACATCGGAGATGTGTGTGAGATTCCCGATAGAAGTGTTTGGTAGGAGGTTCTGAGTGAACTTGATTGTGTTGCTCATGGTAGATATTGACATAATCTTAGGGATGAATTGGTTATCTGCCCATCACATCTTTATAGATTGTGCTCGAAGAGAGTTGGTATTTCTTCAGTTGTGAGGTGTTGTTGTCAGCGGGCCAGACTGAGTAGTTGATGAGAGATGGAGTTGAGTGCTTCATGTTGTTTGTCGCCCTGATTGTTGAGACAGAGAGGGCCATCACTGGGATTGAGATTGTCAGTGAGTTTCCTGAGGTGTTCCCAGATGATGTGCCGGGATTGTCACCTATGCGTGATGTTGTGTTTAGCATTGATCTGGTACTAGGTGTAAGACCGATATTAGTGGTTCCTTATAGGATGGCTCCAGCTGAGTTGTAAAGCTGAAGAGACAGATTGAGAATCTGTTGGAGAAACAGGTGGTGAGGCCTAGTGTTTCTTCTTGGGGTGCCCGGTATTGTTAGTGAAGAAGAAGGATGGTGGGGCCGTTTGTGTGTTGATTATTGGCAACTGAATGAGTTGATGCTAAAGAATAAGTATCCACTTTTGAGGATTGATGATTTGATGGATCAGCTGAGGGGAGCTTCGGTGTTTTGATGATTGATTTGAGATCTGGATACTATTAGATTAGGGTAAAGGAGAGTGACATACCGAAGACTATTTTCAGGACTAGGTATGGTCACTATGAATATGTGGTGATGCCTTTAGTGTCACTAATGCTCCAGTAGTGTTCATGGATTACATGAACAGGATTTTCAGGTCATTCTTGGACAGGTTTGTGGTGGTCTTCATTGATGATATATTGGTGTATTCTAGATCTTTGGAAGATCAACGTGAGCATCAGAGGTTCGTTCAGAGGTGCTAAGGGAGATGTAGTTGTATGCTAAGCTGTCCAAGTGTGAGTTTCAGTTGTCTGAGGTGAGGTTTTTGGGGTATGTGATATTGACAGAGGGAATTGTAGTGGATCCAGTCAAGGTGGAGGCTGTGATTCAGTGGGAGCGTCCGAGGACTATTACGAAGATTATGATTTTTGTTGGGTTAACGGGTTACTATCAGAGATTCATAGAGTTTCTCTAGAATAGTAATGCCTTTGACTTAACTGACTCGGAAGGATCAGGTTTTTGTTTGGATGGACGCTTGTGAGCAGAGTTTTCAGGAATTGAAAGGGTGATTGACTACTTCTCCAATCTTGGTGTTACCTGACACTGGTGAGTATTTTGATGTGTTCTGTGATGCTTCTCACCAGGGGTTGGGCTGTGTGTTGATGCAGGAAGGGAGAGTAGTAGCGTATGCTTCGAGGCAACTTAGGATTCATGAGAGGAATTATCCTACTCATGATTTGGAGCTTGCAGCTGTGGTGTTTGCCTTGAAGTCGTGGAGGCACTATCTGTATGGTGCGAGATTCAGTGTATTTAGTGATTAGAAGGAGTTGAATATGAGGCAAAGGAGGTGGATGGAATTTCTAAAGGACTTTGATTTCCAGTTGATGTATCATCCTGGGAAGGCGAGTGTGGTAGTAGATGTGTTGATTAAGAAATCCATTCACATGTGTCGGTTATGTTGATCAGGGAGTCAGAGCTGATTGAGTAGTTCGGAGATTTGAGATTTGTTCATGATCATATTAGTTGTGGTATGATCACCATAACTAATAAGTTCTTAAGACAGGTAGGAACTAAGCAATTACAGGATCTAAAGTTGTTGAGAATTTTGGGATTGCTTGGTACTGAGAGGGCAGCTAGTTTTGAGCTTAGTGCTGATGGACGTTTGACACTTTGGAGCTTATGCATGAGCTCCCTACCATAATAAGAGGGAATGTTACTCTTCTTAATGCACTCCTCAATTCATTCTAATATTGAATTGGAGAATCATTATAAAGGTATCTTTCACACTCTAGGGAGGTCCACCAACACATAACGTACCCTTGAAAGCTTAGGGTAGTCAAAGGCACTTTCATGTCCTCACTTAGTTGGTGGCAAATGAAGACTTGTTTTACCTTCATCTCCTAGTTTAAGTAAGACTCTACATCATCTTTACCATAAAAATGAGGGAGATCTATTATAGATTCCCTAAATTTGGTTTCTTTTTTTATCCTCCTAAGTGGTGGTTAGTAGAATCCACCCATGTGGAAACTACCTTCTTGATGGGTTAATTAAGTCCATGGTAGAACCTTGTGAAGTGCTACTTCTATTTTTGTTTCTATTTATTTTTGTCCTAATTTTTTATTCTTCTTGCTTCACCAATCTTATCTCCTCCTCAAGAATAACAAGATTAGCTTCTCTTTCAAATTTTTTAATTTTTCTTTTGCAATAATTCCTCTTTCAATTTTTTTATTTTTCTTTTGCAATAGCTTCTTGTTTTCTCCTTAGTTTAAGTGATTAAAGTTCTCGAGCAAGTTAAGAAAATCTTCTTGGAGAATTTCAATCACTTCCATTATGTTGGGAATATTGATCACTCATGGTGAAGTAAGCTAAAAAAAACTAAGAACTAAGGTAATTTAAATAAAAGATTGAACACTACACTAACTAACCGTGACTCTAAGTATTTGAATAAGCCTTTGAAACTTATCAAATAATCTTAAATATAAAAATAATAAAGCATATGCTAGTCGAATTTTCAAATGTGAAAAACTGAAGAATATATGAAATTTTCAAGTCACTTTCACAAGTCCAAAACGCATATATCACTAAAACTAAATTGGGGGAGATGGGATAACACTAAAGGCTTCCCAAGGCACCCCAAAGACCAGATTACAAGAAAAGAAAACAAATAAATTTATATTACAAAAACAACAAATCTACCACTGTTAGTGATAAAATTAGAGATAGATTTTGTGATAGAAAAGCTTTGTGATAGAAAATCTCGTGTTTAAATTTGTTACTAAATCTTCCTCTTTAATTGAATTCCTGCTCAAATCAGTAATGAAAGGTTAGCCTCTCCAATGTTTCACTCCACTTTTGAGGTGCTAGAATCTCTCTTGTAACCAAGTAATTTAGGTGTATTGCTCTCGGTTTGGTACAATTCTTCTCCAAAGCCAAGGTCACCAAAGGAATCATACCTCCTAGGCTTTTCACACAACAACTTAAGATATTACCTTGTGAATTAGGCCTTGTTTAACCATCAAAAGAAAGAAATGAACGCACCAAAGAAGTGCTTGGAAGTTTGGAATACAAACAGTAATAAAAGCACAAAATTTAAATTGTTAAACTCAAATGAATTTAACTTGACAAACTTCAATGAATTTCAAACAATTAGACAATCTAAAATTAAAGTAGATTTTAAAGGTAGCACTAAAATAGATTTTCCCTAGAATAATTCTAGATAAGATGAAGAAAACTAAAATAAAAAGATAAAAATTAATTATTTTTTAAGACTAATAGTTGCATTGGACCATATAATGTGATTTAGACAAATATTTTTTTATTTACATTTTATCATTTTCTTAAATTCTTTTTTCAATCTTTTGTTTGAATTGTGAGAAGATATATTGCCTTTTGATTGATTAATTTTGCAATCACAAATATTTTAAATATAATTTATATATTTAAATATAATATTTATTTATGTACATAATTTCCTCCTCAAGAATAACAAGATTAGCTTCTCTTTCAAATTTTTTAATTTTTCTTTTGCAATAATTCCTCTTTCAATTTTTTTATTTTTCTTTTGCAATAGCTTCTTGTTTTCTCCTTAGTTTAAGTGATTAAAGTTCTCGAGCAAGTTAAGAAAATCTTCTTGGAGAATTTCAATCACTTCCATTATGTTGGGAATATTGATCACTCATGGTGAAGTAAGCTAAAAAAAACTAAGAACTAAGGTAATTTAAATAAAAGATTGAACACTACACTAACTAACCGTGACTCTAAGTATTTGAATAAGCCTTTGAAACTTATCAAATAATCTTAAATATAAAAATAATAAAGCATATGCTAGTCGAATTTTCAAATGTGAAAAACTGAAGAATATATGAAATTTTCAAGTCACTTTCACAAGTCCAAAACGCATATATCACTAAAACTAAATTGGGGGAGATGGGATAACACTAAAGGCTTCCCAAGGCACCCCAAAGACCAGATTACAAGAAAAGAAAACAAATAAATTTATATTACAAAAACAACAAATCTACCACTGTTAGTGATAAAATTAGAGATAGATTTTGTGACAGAAAAGCTTTGTGATAGAAAATCTCGTGTTTAAATTTGTTACTAAATCTTCCTCTTTAATTGAATTCCTGCTCAAATCAGTAATGAAAGGTTAGCCTCTCCAATGTTTCACTCCACTTTTGAGGTGCTAGAATCTCTCTTGTAACCAAGTAATTTAGGTGTATTGCTCTCGGTTTGGTACAATTCTTCTCCAAAGCCAAGGTCACCAAAGGAATCATACCTCCTAGGCTTTTCACACAACAACTTAAGATATTACCTTGTGAATTAGGCCTTGTTTAACCATCAAAAGAAAGAAATGAACGCACCAAAGAAGTGCTTGGAAGTTTGGAATACAAACAGTAATAAAAGCACAAAATTTAAATTGTTAAACTCAAATGAATTTAACTTGACAAACTTCAATGAATTTCAAACAATTAGACAATCTAAAATTAAAGTAGATTTTAAAGGTAGCACTAAAATAGATTTTCCCTAGAATAATTCTAGATAAGATGAAGAAAACTAAAATAAAAAGATAAAAATTAATTATTTTTTTATTTTAATATATTTTGAAATATATATATTATATTAATTTTATTTTATAAAAATAAAATATCAAATTATCTTAAATTAATAAAAAAAATTTATATATAATCTAAGAATAAATTTGTTTTGCGATTCCACTAAGTGTAGGGACCACGGCGGGTCGTTACAACTAGACTGAAGGGTGAACTGGTTTTTGGGGTGTCATCTTGGAGATGACATTGTTTTCTATGTTAATGTTGTTTTAAGGTAGTTGTATTAGTAAATGCTTAATCGACATTAAGGTCTTTATGTTTTCGATATTTATTCTAGATGTGTATTATATATATGCACATGATTTTATTGTAACCCCATAAAGGAGCTTTATGTTTTCAAGTCATATTAATAGAAACTATTTTATGTTTCACACCCTATATATATATATATATATATATATGTTGTATGAATATTTAGACACTATTGCATGATAACCCTAGTATAGTTGATTAATTATTTATTTCCGCTACTTAGTTGCTGAACTATAAAGTGTAATGACTTGTCGGGTGGTTACACTCACATAAATTAGTATACCTAAATAGTAAAATAAATTTCAAATTACATCAGATTTATTTTGATTTGCTACACAACAAATCTTAAATTTGTTACATAATAAAATAGATATAATTATAATAATAATATCTCTTCCAACAAATTTGTTGTACAACATATTACAAATTACTCATATAATAAATCATATTTGACTTATTTAAATCTAACATTAATGATAATAATAATAATAATAATAATAATAATAATAATAATAATAATAATAAAAACTTGGGCGAGGCAACTCGCTTTGACCTGTCATTTTGTTTAACGGACTTGTGAGTTAGCAGGTTAGGATACCCAATCCAACCAACCAATTTTTGGTAGGCTAATAAGTCAATTGGTGGGCCATAAGTTGTTTTGCCATCCTTATACTATTACCATTACTACAATCACTGTCTCACCATTGTTGTTGCCATATGGTGGTAGAAATGGTGATAGTGATTGTGCTGGTAATAATAGTAATAATGACAATAATTGTGATATTGATAATTATAATGATGATAATAACGATAACAATAATGATATTTATTATTGGTATTACAACCATCACCCATCGTCATCATCCTCAGGTTGGAGCGGTGATAGTGGTAACAATGATGATGACAATGTCACCTAGTAATAAATACAATGATGATTGTAGAATGCAAATTTAATTAATATAACATTTATATTTGACTTTTTTTTTAATAAGATTAAATATATAAAACTCATTCAATTTAAAAATTATTTAAAAGTTCATCACATCATTTTATGCTAGTGTATAATCTAACGTTGTAAATATTTAAAGGAACATAAAATAAATAAATAAAA